AAGTTTTAGAAAGAGACTGAATATTTTAACTGACATGCAGCTTAATCAAGAAATATGTAGGCCTGCACAGAACATTAGCAAATAGTGTGCATTTTTACAATAGGCATGTGCTTAAGTCTAACTGCTGCACTCTAATGGCCTCGGTAACATTGTAGACTAATGGATTTATTAATATGCAGCAGATTGCAATAAAAGCTTGTCAATGTTCTGCATTTATGTAAAGTGTGGGGTCTTTATTTAGAACAATATTGGCTCAGTAGATGGCCTTATCTTCGCTTAATGCAGAGAAGCGCCAAATTAACATTCTAGCTTTATGGAGCTCATTAGGCTACTCAGCATTAGTGTTTAAGGATGACTTATTAACGAGTCTGAGTACTGAATTTATAAACTTGTTGCCTAACAAAAGTAGACAATTATTACATTTTTATGATAAATGCTGAACTATTTCTGATTTTTTCTTTCTTTTGCAGGAAATTCAAATAAAATATAAACATTTATATTGACATCATCCCAGCTAATCGAAACAGGTAAGTAGAAAAACATGCTTCGTGTTTTAAATATCTTTCTAAACTTTTAAGAACAGGAAAAGATTAAAAGAAATCGGGCCTGATTCAGCACAATTCTGTTTTACAGCTGGCTCCTGTTCTGCAGAACATAAAAAACATGCATTTCAACATCACACCAATGAATACCAAACAACATAAACACGCTAAAAATCACACTTTTTTTTTCTGGCACAAAAGGGTGAAACATTCCTAAACACTCTAATAAGATAGCAAGCTATAAATGGAAATATCCTGATCTCTTTATTTTGGTTTTCTTTTTTGAAGCATCCTTTGAAATTATGCTAAATACTTTTGTGTGTTATTCTCCTGAGCTGTTTTATCCAGCTACGTAAATGAACCTTCTCAGTGACTGATTATTTTATTCCTTCACAAAATAAAAACATTTCAATTCTTTTTTTTCAACTACTTGATCTTTTGTGAATAAACCATTGTCTATTCAAACAATATTCACAGATTAGCAATTTTGTTTAATATATTTCCTAAGATGCTTCATCAGTCCTGTTGAGAGGACAGCATCTCTCTAAAGGAAATCTCCTGCAATAAAAAGTGCATAAACCATGGAATTTTCCATAATATATCAGTTTATATTTCTAGAGTGTTTGTTTGTATTCATAAGTAAATACTGAACCTCCTAGAAAGACACATAGATGGATGGAATGTTATTGAAGATATCTTCATTATTATACTTTTTAGTCTCTCCTAAAAGTTTAAGATCATCAAACACATTTTAATGAAACACAAAAATAACCTTGGACAATATGAAAAAAAAAAATTAAATAATGATTTAGATATCTAGAAGGGATAGCCACAACCGTAATCCCGCCTTTGCAGCTACAACAGCAACCAAGTGTTTACAATAACCAGAAAACTCTTCTTTTGAAAATATCCACCAATAGAGAAAATGTTATTTCAGGTACACACAAGATTTTTTAGCACAAAGTTCTGAAACCTAAGCCCTGACTTTGACTAGGCCATTTTAAACCATTATTCATATTTCATCAGACTTTTGGAGGTAGACTTCCATGTGACTGTGCCTTTGTGGGACAATTATTCATCTGACAATCTGGAGAGTGTAGGTGTCCCATGTTCATGTGCTAATAAGCAAGGCACTTTGCTCCAATTTGCCTACAAATTGACATATCAGTGTATGAATGTGTGTGCATTTGAGAAAGAGTTTAGGTTTAGAGGCTCCAGTATAAAATATGAATAGAAAAAACTATTTACATTGAGTCCATTTCCCATAATGTGGAAAAATTGAGCAAGTTTAATTTGTTCTTTAGCAAACAATGGCACAAGTCCATCATACCATGCTGTGCTCTGCTGAATGTAACATTATTGAAATCTTTCAAAAATGGCCGCTTTGTCAGTCAACAGTTACTTTTTCAATAAGTTTTGTGTGGTGTTTTTGGTTAAATGGGAGACAAGCATTTACCTATTTTTATCAGTTTTCCTTTTGGTCTTTGAACTCTTCATAACTACTGTTTGTGTCTAGTCCCTTTATTATTATTAAAACTTGAAAACTGACCTTAACTTGGGAAATAAATGCGTGCTATGCTTGAGACCTCCTCAGTGAATCATTGATGAGCTGTTCATAGAGTCTTGTCAATCCTGGGAAGGTTCACCACTGTGCTGCATTTTCTATATTTGTGGATAATCTTTCTCTCTGTAAATCATGCAAATAATTAGAAATGCCTTTCTATCCAAACTGACATATAGCCCAAATTCTCATCTGTCTTTGAATATCTTTAGCGAAGGGTAGGATCTGATATTGCAGATATTTTAGCCCACTTCATACAGTGAGTCAGGTGCCGTTTAATTGATGGTGTTATTCTGTATATCTAGTGATATTCAGGCATATGATAAGGCTAATGAATCCGAGCTTTACAAAAATTTGGTTAATCACATTTTCTTCATGGATCAGCAGGGATTTTCTTTCTTTTTACATGGACCACTTGGATTTAATAATAATAAAATAACTGAACTTTATAGATCTCACATTGGAGAAATGTACCTCTGCATTTAACCCATCCCCTTAGTGAGCATCGGGCTACCGTTGTGCAGTACCTGGGGAGCAGTACGGGGTTAAGGGTCTTGCTCAGGGACCCAGAGTGGCAGTCTGTGGGAGTGGGGCTCAAACTCAAAATCTCAGGATTCCAAGCTCTATGCCCTAACCAGTAGGCCGCCAATCTTTTTGATAGTTTTATGGAGCAGGAGTCTCAGTGGAGACTCTCTGGTTTAATTCTGACAATGTTTTGCACCTTTCTTAGATTTTTTTTGTTTAGAAATGTTACAATCAATACAATATATGCAAAGCTTTTTTTTTTTTTTTGACAAAGTAAAAAATGCTGCCCAAAATCTCCATTAACACATAATGTTTATGTATCATATCTCGTGGAGCGGTCCACACTCCAACCAGAGGACAAGCATGAGTGTCAGTGTGTCATGATTTTGTTTGATTTCATTTTGTGTGAACACAAGATATCTAAACCGACTGACGACACTAAAACAATGTGCATCCTACAAGGCATTGTAAATCAGTCCACCAGATCCTTCATCCTTTTGTGATTGCATGCCTGAGTGAATGTAAACCCACACTTGGGACTGTATTGTCGTGGTGCTTGGCCTGTTGTTTGAGCTGTGATGAAAAATACTCCCTCCGAAACAGTATCCAAGCTTTACAGTTAACCAACAATTTATCTTCAAGGCAGCAAGCTTTATTGTTTCCAAGAAGTATTCATTAGTGCTTGGGCAGAGAATCAGAAACAAACAAAAAATTTTGTTCAATCTTTCCCAAAGGGTTATATTAGAAGTTGGAAGAAAAGATGAAGCATAAACCTGCCAGATATGAAGTGTTTTTAATGAAATTCTCTCCACTAAAACAATTGCTCTCAACTTTGTATACTTTTCAGAGATCAAGTAGTTACTCTTCTCTATGTTTAATAATGTGATGAGGAGGTTTATTTCAGAGAACTTTTCTAAGAGTATGTCAGTCCGTTCAGCACCGGTGTCCTGCACAGGCATGAAGGAGCAGGTGTGAAAATGCATAAGGATTCATGCACCCAGGCTCTCCTGACAAGTGCTGAAATAATAATGAGAGCAATGGTGTGTATGATGGAGAAGTAGGAGCATAAAAGAGTGAAAGCACAACACGATCTGTGTGCAGTTGGAGCTGACATTTACAACCGTGAGTCCCTTTCTCCCTATATTTTTAAGTACTGCTTCGCCTTTACTATCTTTCTAAAGGGTGTCTGGCCAAGTAAAAGGCAATGTGCTCAAACATAAGGTTGTCAGAGTCTATTGAACTTTTAGATGGGTTAACTCTAGGGGAGTTTGGCCTAGTGGTTAGGGCATTGCACTTGGAATCCAGAGGTCGACACTCTAGGTCCCTGAGCGAGACCCCTGCAAGACCCTTGCCCAGGGGCGGATTTAGGAAATTTGGGGCCCTAGGCAAAGACAGGCAGGGGGCTCCCTGAGAAGAAAACCCATAAAACAGACCCATTCTACAGATAGAGAAATGTTAATAGAATAGACATCCATTATTTGTTCTAGGTTTTGTCCGTCTTTTCTTGTCCCTTTTTCCTCTCTATTTTTCAGCGTTCTGATGGCATTTTAACCAAAGGATTTTTATCAAAAACATAATTAATGTGCACAAATAAGGAATAGTTGTATTAACTATACATGTAAACAGAGTTTTATGGGGCCCCCAGGAACTTGGGACCCTAGGCAACTGCCTAGTATTGCCTAATTGGCCCATATCAAAATGCAAGTATCACACTGTCCCTGCAGATTTGGGACTGTTATAAATGATAAATGAACAACATGATAGCACATTCTGTCACATTATATGACACATGAGCCAAACATGGGCAATTCAATTCAGGATGGATCTATTGTTTCATTTTGTTGCTGCAAAAACAAATAATTTGCAGAAGAGATAACTTTTCTCCTAAATATATTTATCTTGTTTTGGCGAGCCAGAGTGAATTATCCAGCCTGTGACATTAAAAATAATTTTTTTCCCCAACAAAACTATTACTCACTCAATATTTGGGGGGCTTTTTTTCACCACTCTCAAGCAGCCTGAAAGATGTTTTATTTTTGAAGGTATGCAGGCAAGTCCACCTGTTGAAATGAATGTATACAGTTTCCTTATTACTGTGAATGAAATTATAAATATCCAACAGTTTACATTAGAAATGTACTTTTAAATTATAAATTATAATATATATATATATATATATATATATATAATATATATATATATATATATATATATATATATATATATATATATATATATATATATATATATATATATATATATATATATATATATATATATATATATATATATATATATTTACCATATTGTGTGAAGCTTTTGAACAATCTGTTTGGAAACAAGATCCAGTAACAGAAGACAAGGCAGGAAAGTGAATTTCAATATTTAATTGCATGCTGCAGTTTAAACAGTTTAGTACAAAATATATCATGCAGCAGTCTTAAAAGTGCAAAACGTGTCAAAAATCACTCTTTTTAGATGAGTCCGCGAGCATGCCAAGTATACAATCACTCCATCAAGCTGTTAAGGAGTTTTAATATTTTAAAATAATCTACAAAAATCGGCCTTTAAAAGTGTTTTCATTGATTAAAACCGAGAAAATAATTTGTCTTAAGAAAATACCTACATCATGTCCATGGATTACACTGGCAGGCGTTGGGCGATAAGAAATAACCATGCTTAGAGATATTTGTAACGCAATCGTTTTAAAAGAAAGAAGAAACATGAGGTAACAGTTCGTAAACGTTGTTGTTACTTTGTTTAAGTTGGCAATTTTAAAAGCACTCCATATACGTAATACATCGTTTTAAACATGTAAACAACTGCCATTGGGTTTACGCACGAACTTTACGCACACACATTGGTCGTTTAGGAATACTTCCCTGTTTTGTTTTGTTTTTTTCTTTTTTTTTGGAAGGAAAGTTTTTTTGCATATCATCAATCTTGACACAAATCAAGCATCTTCGATTGTTCCGTGCACATGCAGATCCTAAAATCCGCGCTGGATCCCCGTTCTGGTTCTCCCACAGTGTCTGAGTTCTGCCCTTTAGCCGAGACCAATCATGACAGTTTCTACGTCTTTGGACGGTCTCCGGTCCTTCACCAGGAAGTTAATCATGCTCTCTGATTTGATCATCAGGTTGCATCCGAGGAAAAAAATGCCGAACATCACTGTAAGGGAAAGGACGCACAGCACCGCGATCTGGACCACCCGCATGACAAAGAGTTTGCGCTCATCCTGCAGCAGCACCAGGGACCCTCCGCCGTCACCGGTCATCACCATGTCTGAGCTGTTATTTGAATACGTATCCAAAGCCTCAGCGAGGGTCTGGCTCCCGTTAAACAGCGCGCCATGGGTCATGTTGAAAAGAGAAGCATTCATACTTCCTTGCGGGTTTTCAGCTCCAAAATACAGGACTCCACTTCAGTGGCGCACAGTCTCAGGCAGAACTTGGAATCCAAATGAGGATTTTTATGTAAATCTTCAAACAAAAGTCAAAAGAAAGACAAAACTACACGCTTTTGATCTACAACTGTCCTGACAAACATTGAGAGTAGCTCCGTTCGTGCGTAATGACCACAGCCATCTTGCAAATTACCTCAGTCGGATAAGGTCGCATTAGCTTCAAATAAACTTTTTTCCAACTTAGAGGGCGTTTTTCCCCCTCAAAATTCAGTTGAGTCTTTTTAAGACAGTAAGCAAAGATCGGCACAGTGTTTCCCTTCGGGGTAACAAGGTACTCCCTGTGCTCCCTGTGTGCGCTCCCTCTGTGGTGCGTCTTAAAGTGGTGATGATGAGCTCCCCGCGGAGCGCACCGACACCCCTCACCGCAGGAAGAGAAAGGTGGGCTCTGAATACTATGTATGTGGGTGTGTGTGCAAGTTAAGAAAGAAAGAAAGAAAGAAAGAAAGAAAGAAAGAAAGAAAGAAAGAAAGAAAGAAAGAAAGAAAGAAAGAAAGAAAGAAAGAAAGAAAGAAAGAAAGAAAGAAAGAAAGAAAGAAAGAAAGAAAGAAAGAGTGTAAAAGGAATAGCAATTAAAAGCGTAATCTGCCTTTATTACAATATATTAAGAAATTATATATCAGAAATTATTTGACACTATTTAAAAAGGAAATTATAATTAAGTAATGGCTGAAATAAGGAAATGTGTTGTTGCCTTTTGACAATCCGCAATCAATGCCTTTTTATAAATATTGTACAGAATTTTGTGTATTTAAACTGTTATTTTGAAAGCTGATATTTTCGCTGAGCTTTAAATTTTTGAAGTCTAAATCCAAATATTGTTCTCAGTAGTCAGGGCTGTGGGTTTTTTCCTGTCTAACAGTTTAAAAGAAAAATGTTGGTAATATTTAAAGGTAATTGAAACCCACATTTACTCAAGACAAAGTGTATAAAAACTTACAAACTTTCTTACATTCATTTGCACAACTGAATGCATAATGTTAATTGACTTTAACATATTGCGCATGTGCATTAAATGTCTTGGACAATTGTGTTTTACATTTCTTCAGACTATAATATGACTCATTCTGACTGCATGCGATACACTTTCATTACTAAAAATAGAAGAAAATTATAAAGAGACTTCAGGAATCATTCATGGTTTAATGTTTATTTTGCAAAAAATAATAAAAAATATGGCATACTCTTATATCAATCCATCTGTCAGAATAATACTTTAAAAAAATCATAGTTCTACTACCAATAGATACTGTGTAGGGGATTTTTCTTTAAATTATATTTAAAAAATCTGCTCGTTCAAGCTCTTAAATCTGTTTAGGAATTTTATTTTGATTACTGAGAAACGGCACAGTGGACAGGTTGGAGGTAAAACAACCAAGAAGTTTAAAACATATTTGGTTTATAAAACAGCATTCCAAGCTCTGAACATCTTTTTGTTAAATTCATTAATCCATTTGAAAATAAAAAGGTAAAAACTTCACACAGAGCAATGACCATTTGTGTAAACTCACACCCATGGTGAGCAAAGGCTTGATAAGAGATGCAGCATTTTTTGTAAAAAAAAAAAAAAAAAAAACATTTAGCATCTCCTCTCATTTTCCCTGGGTCTACTGTATAGTGCATTACTCTATGTTGAACCTTGACCAAAAATCCTTTAACATTGTGGTCAATCTTGGAAAATAATTTTTAAGTCTCTTCAATAAAGTTTTAAGAGAAATATAAACCTAGACATAAAGAATATAGACTGATCTGATGTTAGACAACTTATTTTTAAAATCTCTTATTTTGAAATATTGGGTAAATTGCCTGTGCGAGCTTTGACTTACAAATTAAGGTTTAAAAAATAAGAAAATCCGGAACAGATATGAATAAAGGCTTCCCTTCCTTCCCTGTTTATGCTTATAACTAAAATGAACCACTGGGCTACCAAACATTTTTGTAAATACTTGCTTTATGTTCCTACAACGCGGCATGCCACCAAACAACTAGAGCAATAAAGATGAGCAAGGTGCAATGTTGTGTTTATCTAATAAAACACCTTGGATAGTGATTTCTGTTCTTAATCTAATGCCTCATTAAACATGTGATTAAGGGCAAAATAAAACATGCCTCCTAGTAGGTAATTAGTGATGTTTTATATTTAAAAGTACACTTATCCATATCCAAACTAGCTTCACTAAACTGCTGATATCAAACAATTTGAAATCAGGCCAAACATTTTATGTGGAAAAAGTTTCATTCTGCTTGCTGCTGAAACACTCCAACCAATAAAAGAGTTAGTTCTAGTTGACATGTTTTTGGCAAACCGCAGCTGCTGCAAAATAGCATAGCTGTATTTTAATTCTTAGCATTAAAACTTTTATCTGCTTCAGTGCCTCAGTTGTAGCTACTAAATAGTTTGGAAAAAGTCAGAAGTTTGGCTTAGCAAAAACTTTGTTCCCATTTTTTTGGAATTTCTCTGTAGTATAATAGTGTTTAAGAAAAGCAATTTTTATCATATAATTTCCTTGATTCAAAAAACTTTTTTCCCGTTTGAAGGTACTGCAAAAGGGCAAACTATACACTGATGGAATCCCATTGATTTGCTGAATCCTGTCAGGAGATGCTTTTTTTTTTACCATTTTTGGTCTTATCTAGGATTTGATGAACAGTCAATGGAGTGAGCTCCTCTCTTTAAAGTTCTTGTGATGTGAGAAATTGCTTATTTAAGGTCAAACCTGCAGCAGCAATATCCTTTCCTACTTTGTCCTGAGATTATTGTGGCCTGGTTCAGTTTCAACCAGTTTCACTCAGTTTCACTCTGGGTCTCTGAGAGAGACCCTTAACCCCTGATTGCTCCCCCTGGTGCCCCACAGTGGCAGCCCACTGCTCCCCAAAGGGATGGAGGAAATTTCTCCAATGAGAGATCAATACATTTCAATTATATAAATCCTAATCTCAGCACAGGACTTGTAAATATCAATTTTGCACTACATGGTTGATTTCTCCATAATCATTTTAACTAGAACAAAACTCCTGGTTCTGCTGCATTTTGCATCATATTTCTTTAAATGTTCATTTCACTGCTAAGCTGCTCATTCACTGTTGAAAGCTGTATGCATTGAAAGTTTGTTTTGTATACACTGTCTGCACAGTCTAAAATGAATAATCTTTGTAGGTCATTTAATGGGTGAGCTATGATATTTTACTTAAGCATTTTTTGTGATATAATATTTGGATTTTTGCTGGACTGAATGCGAACAATGGCAGTAAAATGTGTATATTAATAATAAAAATTTTATTTCCCGCTTAAAACCTTACGTCAAGCTGTAAATTATAATTGTGTCAAATTGTTAATTTTTAAAAATATTTTTTTACTTAAATTAAACCCCTCTCTTTTTATTTTTAAAATAATAAGAGCAAAATAATAAATTTATGACATGATTAGAAGTCAAACGAAATGTTATATTGATATAAACTCATCTGATCTTTAGGTTTACTAAATTTAAAGAAATGTCTCCGTCAATCATTCTGAAACAGCCTTTTACGACCTCTGATTGACGCTCCGTCAGATTGATCTTCTGTTTGCTAAAAAACAAAAGGCCATGAAATTTAATTTGAGATGCTCTGAGTAAGCAGCTTCCAGCCAAGCGTGTGTACAAACAATGATTAGCTTCTTCCTCAAATAACTAACGTAAGCCTGGGTGTGGTTTGCTGTCAGATAAATTTATTGACGGTTGCAAACCGAGACACATAACTCAGCCATTATTTGCGGTAGAAATAAATCAATTATTAAAGCCTTTAAATTAATTATTGCAAATGTCTTTGAAGGATTGGCATCCAGTTAATAACTTGGGTCATTTATTCAACCTAGAGTAATGACAGAGAATTGTCTGTAATTACAATTTATACCCCTAACAATATGTATATCTCTTATTATAAGAGCTACTGGTTATTTTACCCTCATAATCTGCAGAGCAACAGGTCTTCTCACGTACGTTTTCCTTGCTGCACATGTGACAATAACGCAAATTACTACCTGTGATTGTTGAAGCAAATATATATGTAGATACTGTAAAATCATATGAGGCTGCAAACATGAACATGGGTGTCTGACTTGTTCCTTAGCAACAGAAGACCTGTGAGCTCAGTGACAGATGGTTGGGGAAGTTATTTTAGTTTAATGGAGAAAGACAGGGAGGGAGCAATGACATGCCTTTACTTTGGAGGGATGATGGTTCCAAGACACATTGACTAGTTGAGAGGAGCACATATAATTGGGGTCAAGTCAAATTACTAAATCATTGACGAATAGATTTTTGCAAAATTTTTTTGAAAAAATCCCATCTTACCGGTGATATTAGTATCCTTCAATGCCTCCTTCAAACTCTAACTGATAAACAGAAACAAAATAGACAGAGATTACTTTTTCTATAACATTTCTCTCTATAGAAATTTTATAGAAAGTAATTATGATATTGTGTATATAGACAATCTTATTCTTTTGTCTGTCTCAGGGACTAATGTTGGAAATTAGCTGTGAGAACGATAGTCTGATACAGTACAACTCCTCAGTATCTCATTTTTTAATATTTTTTATACATTTAAAATAAACTAATCCTATATGCATAAATATCCTCAGATATTCTTTTGTAGACAAAAATATTTATCACTTTTATAATTTCTGCTTCACCCTGGAATGATCGGAATTACCGCCAGTGATGTTCTCAAATTCAGACTGAAATATGCTAATTAAGGAGTGATGCTGGGTAGCCTACTTGATAACTATAACCCAGAATTATCTTATGGCTGCTTTGACTTTTAATATCAGGTAATTATTGCGCTCCAGAGTGTTGGGTGGCTGGAAATCTACATTTAGCTTCTAAACAGCAGCAGAGTGTCCCAACAATTTTTATTTCCTTTTGGCATCAAAAAAATGAAATACATGAGTTGAAATGAAAGGAACTGAAATGAAATAAATTTGAACTAAACTGGTTAAGAGGAGTATCTCTAAAAAAATGTTTAAAAACTATGTACAAATTAGTCACCAGTTCACTGCAGGAGCTAATTGCATTTTAAATTTTCTTTTACAGAATGACAGTCTGGCCATATTTTAGTACCTTTAATCTAAACAGCAACTAATATTTTTCCAGGTTTGCCAATATTGGCATTGGAAAGAAACTATTAGTCAAAAAAAAAATTTGCCTGTTTTCTTTTAAAGTAAGCACAGTTCAAATCACTAAAAGAAAGCAACACGTATAAATGTTTTATATCTAAACTGTATTGTAAGCATAACCAAGTCTGCTGTTATGAAAGCAAAAAGTTAAGCTGAATGACAAAGTCTGGAATCGGTTAACTGGGTTAAGTATCTTCTATGAAA